CTCTAGTAGTAGAAAACGTAGTTTTTCTTTCAGTTCATGTGATTCCGATCCATATGAGTTCAGAGATGTTCAGCTCCGATACTTCGAACTTGGTAAGTTGTGATTTCGTTTACAGTTCAACCACTGAGAGAAAACGAATCGCAAGTTTATGCGTGATATACAAGCAATCAAAAACACAACGTACAAAACGTTTATCGGTTTATTTACTGATAATTCGATAAAACTACTTTCTGCCTACAAAAACTGCTACATTCCGTTTCCCTACTGATTTTAACATTCTTGTTTCATTACGCAACTCACTATGAAACACAGTCTAACAACAAACCACAAATGTACATTTGAATCCTGACTGAAACTGACATGTATAAGATGTGTATTCTGTGTCAGGTGTCAAACCTCCAGTGGTGGTACGGCGTTTTGTACTAACTAAGGCGGCGATGAGAGAATAAACAAACATCTGTCGCATCGTATCCGACATAATTTAAATCACGAAAAATGTCATGTAAACAACAAAAATATGCGAATATTTCTTGTGCATTTTATATATACTCTCAACTTTAAGTCATTTATACCAGGGCCGTAACGTCCAACTACCATATATATATGGTACATGTATATGCACTACTCAGAATTGTTGGAACTTTGTCCGATGTAGACACTACTGCATTTATTTATTTTGGGCCACCATTATGTGAGCTGTTTACAAAATTAGACCACCTCCAAATTTGTCTGTGAACTGCCTGGAACTATCAGTTCTACCTAATTGAAGCGTAATAACCTGTTACATCATGTTTACATGTAAATATTTGTTGTTTTCAGATTACGCTTCCCCGGTACCCAAAAGTGCAAAGAAAGTTAGATTAATGTCACACATATCGTCTTCGCCAATCATTACCGATACCAAGCCCTGTGGTTGTAAGAACCGGTGCGACACAAACCGATGTCACTGTCGAAAAAACGGTATGGTTTGTGGTTTTAATTGTAAATGTGACCTTAATTGCTGCAATCCTATGAATAAATTAGAGATTTTTGCTGAGTATGGTGTTGATATAGATAAATGTAAAGAAGATACATGTCTGATGCATTGTATCACTAAGGTGAGTACACAGTATTGTTATCCCAACCCGACAAAGACATTTGTAAAATGTCGCACACACAAGTTACTGCGCCATCACATGTTGTTAAAGAGGCACTCAACGGTGACGTAATCACAGTCCCTCAACACTGTGACGTAACCAAGGTGGAATACACGCCAATCACAGTGGCGGATTCAGCAAAATGTATTGGAGGGGGGGGGGGAGCTTCGCTTAAGATATACGGAGCGAAAATCGCAGAGAAGCTATGCGTAATCCACATAATATGAATCGTCATGCGTTTTTTTGGGGGGGGCATGGCCCCCTCTGGATCCGCCACTGGCCAATCATCAATTTTGCGCCCGATGTTCATTATACCAGTCTGTCACGTAAATCGGGAATTTCATATGTACCTTACTTTTATTTCAGTTGACCGATGAAGAAATTCGTAATCACCTGGAGACGGACATTGAACTGTATTGCTGTGACACCACGACTAAACTCCACACCATGATTCCCGGTAAACTGACATGCCCCGGGGAAGACTGCGTGGAACCTTACGTGTATTCGTGGTGTGATTGGGAGATAGTTGAACTTGGTAATGGATATCATCGTAATCACTGTAGAAAGTGTAAAAGATGTGTTGGTAGATCGGAAACTCACTGTAATGTAAGTATTGTAAATATGATGACGTGCCTCAAACGGAAATGCTCAGACATTTTGCAGATTGTTGATATTCCATATTTCAAAATTCTAATTTAATGTTTCAGAAATGCAATCATTGTTGTCGTGGACCCTGCTCATGTCATTGCTGAGAACAGGAGGTACTTATTATCCATTGTGTCTGAACTATAAAGTGAGATATCAAGATTCAAGTTCAAGTCTTACCGCTGCCTGGTTTGTCATTGTGTATTGCAGATTTACCCAAGTTTGTTTTGTAATTTACTATTACCCAGTAGTATCAAACCATAGACTGTTTTTCACCTGTATGTACTGTATATATTATTTTTCGTTTATATCGTAACACGTGTTTGTTATCAACTTACGAAAATAAATATTCACATACTTCTCATAATACTTGTCGATTCCAACAGGAGACGAAACTTTGTTATAGATTGTCCCGACGACGACGATAGTTGTGGTGCCCTCACCGACGGATTAACTCGTTTGCGTCCGAGTAAGTCTGTCGATGAGGGCACTACAACTATCGCCGATCATATCAGGCAAAACATCACAATCACTGTATTATGATCAATTTGTAACGATAAGAGGAAATCATACTTCAGTATACTAACTGTTAGAATTCATCCGGCTAATGTCACGTTTTAATCCTTGAAATATTTAAATCATATTTTAGATGAAACATTACACCCTGGCAAACTTGGTTGTTGAAATTATCAAATACAAATGATGGCAGACACTTAATGATGACATCCCAGATTTTACTCAGTCTCAGCTAAAATGACCGTCTGCATTCAACATCACGAAGTAATTTCAAGAATGACCAATCGATAATTATTTCGAGAGGAATGAAATTCAGCTTCCTTTAAGTGGAAATGTCATATAAATCTGTTATGTTTTGTGTATTTCGGAAATGTCGACATTGCTGTTGGGTCCCATGCGACTGTCATTTCTAAAATGCAAAAAAATGGAAGAGTTGTGACTGGCGTAATAACGACAATAGCAGACGTATTATTAACATATCAATGACAATGACAGACATATTACTGACATAACCATAGCAATGACAACTATAGTATTAACATCCGTAGACGAACTACATATTCTGTTGAAATATGTAACGTTTTCGGTGACACCTTCCAAATGAAACAATGATAATGTCTTTTTTTACACACGAATGGAAATCAATATGACCTGCACCGTATTCGTGACGAAAGGCACCTCCCTCTCTACATCCTACCAACACCGTGAAATCAATTGCTGCTTATTTGTACATACAATGTACTAGTAGTTCAAATTGACGAACGTGGCAATCGAGGTTAAAACGTACGTTTCTCTCTTCCAAGATATTGTACTTCGCTCATCTTCTCAGAATGACTGGCAAAGTTGAGACAATGTAGCCTATCTAGCAGTGACACTGTTAATTTGGTTGACTACTTTGACTGAATCGAGCATTTATGTACGATTATTTTAAAGCATTTGTGTGAATTAAAATTGTACTAATCAAAGAAATACACCACTTACAATGGTTTACCACGCATGCTGGCAATCCTGAAATTCCACGAGTTCCGGTAGAACTTCCACATCTCCGCAGTCCCGTCAGACAAAACAGTTCCGTCAGTGTAACTAACGGGTCTTTATACTACTGTAAAGTACCGTTATCTGTGATTATCACAGATTTTATTTTCGCTGAAGTTTCGAATCAATGAAAATAAAATCCAGCGAAAATACTCTTTTCCTATATTTCACATTTAACTCATCAAAAATCAGTGAAATTAAACTTTATACAATACACCCAAAATGTTTTTTCAATGATAATTACAGTACTGAATATTTCAAGCATGCGCCCTCTATGATATGCAATTGTTTATACCTTTGTTTTACTGCTATTTTATATGTATTATAGTACAATATTAGTTTCCAATTTCCAAGGATCCTGGGAGTAATATATCTTTAACATATTAAACTAGTGTTTGGTTGCTGTAGCGACAGTAACATCTAAACTGTTAGAAAGAATTTGGTTGAATCAATTATATTGTTTTCTCAAAAGACCAATTTTTACTACTACGTGTACTAATAAATAATATTTTTTTTATGAAAACAAAAATAACATGCAACTGAGATGTAAACTGAAGTACATTGCACTTCTGAAAACAAATCTACTTTGGGTCATCATCATTGACATAATAAATTGATTGATATTTAGCAAGAAACAACACTCAGTTAGCACTCAGATTTTTGAGTTATTGGACTACCAAACCTTTACGCTATCATTGGTCTATGGGCCACCAAGACACTGCTACATTTAAAGTTTGTAAACACTGTAAAACAAATTAATACCAAATTGAGTTAAAAAAAAACTATTTACTTGGTTCAATTGTATTGGCTTATTTAGTGTAATAAAACATTGAAACCACTTTAGTAGGGGTCTAACATTTTACCCTATTCCATACAACAAATCAAATTAAATCCGAAAGATTCCAAGGAACCCAGAGACTGAGAAGTCAAACACAAGCCTAGATGGCATTAATACCACCATTTGACAAAGGCCATGACATTGCAATTATTAATTAATACAATGTACTTTATAATTGGTTGAAGTGCAGCAAAAACATTTGCATCCAGGATTTGTATACGTACCATGTACATAAATCGGGACATACAGAATGGAACTAATAACCACATGTATGACAATAGCTCGAGCAATGATAATAAACTTACTGCCAATATTGTTATAAATTTGTAGATTCATAATATGTATCTGATTCAGATATGGCTTCAGTGGAGTATCCTTTCAGATTTGAATTTGTATTTTCATACTCAGTATGTGATTTGATTTAAATCAAGATTTAATTCTACCTCAAATTTGAAGTTTTATTTTCATAATCATTATCTGATTCAGACTTGGATTCAAACTTGATTAATATTTTTAATTAATAAAGTAGACATTTGTATATATAAATAATTTTTATTTTAGTTTTTTACTTGTACAAATTCATGGTTAGGACATTGAATTACTATTTTAAACACCGATCATCCTTCCAATAAAACCTTTGATTAAAATATGACAGACATGGAGATACTAAAAACTAGAAGTGAGATTCCCTTGACAAAACACGTAAAAACTAACATATAAAATATACCACACCAAAGCAAAGCGAGAAATCAATTCTTCTCGATTATAATTAGTTCTTCACTTCCACACTCTTCAATGTTATTTATTTCAGTTAGATAAAATGCAGGTCTTCAAAGACCCTTATTAAAATAAACTTTAGTAATGCTGGAATCCATGTTTTTGATTTGTTCTTGGAGTTCTGGTTCAAGTTTGCTGACAGATATGGAGCTGAAATATAAGAACACAGCAAGTAAATACTTTGGTTACTTGCAACAAACAATAACATGATTTTGTATAATAAGCTACATTCACATATTATTAATTTGCCACTCCCAGTAACAACTGAATTACTCTAACATAATAATAATCATTAATACATGGTATACATTGTGCTCTAATATACCAATATTATAGGCACAAACTTAAGTAAATGAATGTTGTATTGTGTATTTAATATTTCCATTGTACTGATTGTTGTTTTACTTCATTTATACATAAAATTATCACTAAATATTCTACCACTTTGTGTTTATTTGAGACAATATCCATCTATATGGGGACACATTTACAAGTTTCATCATCACTTAAATATCCAATAAAAATGATTCTCACATTTATCTTACTGAAAGCAAAATATTATCATGACATCTTGTTCAATACAATAAAGTGTACATACCTTTTCTGTGGAAAGAGAGCACAACATAGAGGAGTAGCAAAAACACCACTAAAATAAAAAACATGTAATTGTAAATAAATGGCATAGTTCCTGTTAAATCATTTATAGTATTTGAAATCAAACATTTAAAATAAAACTGTCATCAGAACTGCACAAGTGAATACTCTACTGTTTTAGACTATTTTTGTTCTCTGGTTGGTCTGCAGACACTACAAAGCAATACATAGTTCAAAATGTAATTATTGCTCACAGTCACAACTACTTTATCGTTACAAAATGTAATTATTGCTCACAGTCACAACTACTTTATCGTTACAAAATGTAATTATTGCTCACAGTCACAACTACTTTATCGTTACAAAAAATCCTTTACAATGACTAAACATGGTACATCATTTTGACAACTGTTTTATTTTGCAGATTTTTGAAAACTGGCCACTATCAGTGTGTAAACATTCGTTTATGGTTTAGCTTTCCCCACACATACACAGTTTTGATTACAGAAGTCATCGATTATTTTTATAAAACTATCTTGTTATTCAATCTATCGATAGTATGGTTAAATTAAGAAGGCCAGTAAGTAGGTCATCTTCGGGAAATTTCTTGAGGACACATAACTACATTATACATTCACGTATGACTGTACCAACTCTGAACATGATTAGTCATTGAATGTCAGAAGGGATGTTGTACACAAAAAAGGATGTCAGTTGACCCTCATAAATCAGATATAAAAATTATGTGTACATGCACCTAAAATTTACAGTCACTTCTGAAAATTGTTTAAACATATTTATTTTCACAAAATTGATGCCAGTCAGTGACATCTGTTTGAATTGAAATGAAAATTAAAGTTTACATGGTAAGTATGTGTGGTTCAAGGAATGGCTGTGGTGTGCGAGAAACATATCTAAATAAACATACCATAGACCAACCAATCCTACTTGTACAGGTGCTCTCATGAATTTATATTGTTGTAGAAATGGCTTCTTTTCTAATATACCCATAATTATTGGTGGGATGCCTAGAAAAATAACAAATCTGGCGTCAGTTACAATGAGACAGCAAACTCTAATCTTAAAATGACTTGTATGCAACCATTTTTTTTTTCTATTTTGTACATTACACAGAGTTTAAAAAAAACACATTTAGTGTGTAAAGGTTATATAGATTTAATGTTGGTGCATTTGGTTCAGTGCCTAAAATAAATGTCATCGATCGTTTATGGAGATATTCCTAGACTTCATTAACAATACAACAGATGTGGAATAATTAAACAAGATGAGGTTCACTTTCAATTGCATCATAAACTGTAAACTATTTGGTTTATTATTTGGACTTGCAAAATATGCAGATACATATAACAGAAAGTTTGGTCTCCACTGTTTTAGATTGCCAAATCTCTAATTTTATTTAATTGCCATTCACCAAATGTTATCACATGGCAACCAAAATATTGGATATCTAGAGGGATGACCATTAATTAACTTTATCACTACCATGTAGGTTGAATGGTTTTGTTGAAATCCAAAACTCATGTTTATACAAAATATTATTTTTATTAATGAAATAAATGCACCTGTTAAACACACGGCAGTCAAATATTTTTTGTTGAGCACAGACATTGGATTTTTTAAATTGGAAAGAATTTGATGATCTTTAACCTGTCTGGCACAACACCAGAATTTAGCGATGAAATGATAAAGGTAAACAATTGATCAACTATTTTATTTATTAGTTTTTGATCAAATATACCAAAGCCTTCATTGTGTGGACATTTATTATTGTCAATAGATATGATGTCTGTTGAAATTACAGGATCAAAATACAAAATACTATTTGTAAGATAATCAGCAAAGTTTATGTCTTCATTGGTCATAGTTAAAGAAGTTATTGAAGCCATCTGCAATTGGGTTATTTAATTTAAATCATGGTTATTATTGACAAATTTTCATATCCTTCTGTTTCAGTTTTTATTTTGGATATTACATGTATTACCGCGGTATGTGTGATATTTGTGCTTGCTGTAATACCGGTAATCTTTTTTGTAAATTGAATTTTTTAATTTATTTCTAAAGCAAATTTTTAATGAAATGTTTATGATATAATTTACCTTTCTTTATTTATTTATTGACTTATTATTGATCCAAGGTGACATGTTTTTTCTACCTTCTCTTGTTGACATTTTTAAATGAAAAACATTAATCGCAGAGTTCTGTTCAACTCCAGAAATATGAAATATACTTCTCATCCAAACAACAAAACCAATCATATGGAGCTTGTTAAAATTTTAATGCAAGTAGTAATTATATAAAACAGGCCAAATAGTGGTACAGTAAAAATGATTGTTTGACATATTTGCATTAAAATGTAATGTATGTGATAACCCATATTATATTTAAATATTAGACAAATCTTTTTGGTGAATACCATCCACAGTAATTACCATACTAGTAGAGATACATTTCACACTAAGCATCACACCTGTGTCTGTTTTTGCATCTATTGTTGAATAATAAGTTAATAAAAATGCTCTCAAGTACTAACAAAAGATTACAACAAATGTCTAACATCTAAATAGGAATCCAATTAAATTTTAATGATTTTATAAAAACAAAAAAACACTATCTTATACTCAATGAGATAACATTATCTTACCCATAGCAGGTATCGCCATGGCAACTCTAGAGAAGACAACCTGAGCTATTGCACTTCTAGCAGCTGCTTTGCTTACTCCCAATTTATTACCATTCTCATCCATAACTGTGATACCATTCTCTACCTCCCTCATCCTCATCATTGGAATGTTAATACAGTTGGCAGTGGCAACGGCCGCAAATGGAACATAACGACCAATCAGTGGTGGAGCTTTCTGAAAGTGAACAGAATACTGTTCAGCGTTCCTTATAAGTAATTTTCGCAAGGAGCAACTTTGTTATTTTCACATGGAATGTCAAGTTAATATTCATTTTGACAGTGTTATGTGAGATATTAAGTCTAAAGTTATGCAAAGAAAAACATTTCACTGTGAAACTTGGTGAGGTCCCTGAGCAACTTGGTGAGGTCAATAAGTAGCTTGGTGAGGTTGCTAAGTAACCTGGTGAGGTGGCTAAGTAACTTGGTGAGGTTGCTAAAGAACTTGGTGAGGTTGCTAAGTAACTTGGTGAGGTTGCTAAGTAACTTGGTGAGGCTGCTAAGTAACTTGATGAGGCTTCTAAGTAACTTGAAGAGGCTTCTAAGTAACTTGGTGAGGTAGCAAAGTAACTTGGTGAGGTTGCTAAGTAACTTGGTGAGGTTGCTAAGTAACTTGGTGAGGCTGCTAAGTAACTTGGTGAGGTTGCTTAGTAACTTGGTAAGGTTGCTAAGTAACTTGGTGAGATTGCTAAGTAACTTGGTGAGGCTGCTAAGTAACTTGGTGAGGTAGCTAAGTAACTTGGTGAGATTTCTAAGCAACTTGGTGAGGTTGCTAAGTAACTTGGTGAGGTAGCTAAGTAACTTGGTGAGGTCACTGAGTAAATTTGTTAGGTCACTAAGTAACTTTGTGAGGTCACTAAGTAAATTGGTGAGGTTGCTAAGTAACTTGGTGAGGTTGCTAAGTAACTTGGTGAGGTTGCTTAGTAACTTGGTAAGGTTGCTAAGTAACTTGGTGAGGCTGCTAAGTAACTTGGTGAGGCTGCTAAGTAACTTGATGAGGTCACTGAGTAACTTGGTGAGGTCACTGAGTAACTTGGTGAGGTCACTGAGTAACTTGGTGAGGTCAATAAGTAACTTTGCGAGGTTGCTAAGTAACTTGGTGAAGTCACTGAGTAACTTGGTGAAGCCAATGAGTAATTAGCTGAGGTCACTGTAAATTAATGAGGTCACTGTAAATTGATGAGGTCACTGTAAATTGATGAGGTCATGGTGTAAATTGATGAGGTCACTGTAAATTGATGAGGTCACTGTAAATTGATGAGGTCACGGTGTAAATTGATGAGGTCACTGTAAATTGATGAGGTCACGGTGTAAATTGATGAGGTCACTGTAAATTGATGAGGTCACTGTAAATTTATGAGGTCACGGTGTAAATTTATGAGGTCACTGACTAAATTGGTGAGATCACTGACTCGTGAGTAACTTTGTGAGGTCAATAAATAACTTGGTGAGGTCACTAAGTACCTAGCCGAGGTCACTGTATAAATTGATGAGGTCACTGAATAACTTGGTGAGGTCACTGAGTAAATTGGTGGGGTCACTGAGTAACTTGGTGAGGTTTACAATTTATATTACCATGACAACAAAACATGTGGATCCTTACTTTTACTAAACTGTTCAGTCCCAATGCTGTGATCAAAGCACCACTAGTGGCTAGAAAATATGATTTCACAAGTTGACTGTAAAGAAAAGACAAAAATGGAAAGATACTGATGTAACAATCATACATTAGCTGTTTTATTACGATAGACTTGTTGATCCACTGTATGTGACTTACCTGACTGGTATGGGATCTTCACCACTACGATTTGTGTAATTGACGATGGCATTGAAAGACTGGTTGATCCATTGTATGTGACTTACCTGACTGGTATGG